TATTGGTCAGTTCACACCTATGTGACCTTATTAGGACAGAACAGAACTGCTCTTTAGGGTCTTCAAGAGTGTGGAATGTCAAAAGAGCAGATAGCTTCATCGACCTTCAATGGAGCAGCTGGTGCATTGAGCACCAACTCTGCAGTTAACATACCAACCTTGTAGTTAACTACTTAGCCCACTGTGCCCCAGGGCACCTTCATTTTTATCATATGCTGGTAGTAAAGTGCATGCTAAAACTCCTGTCCTGCTTATCGTTAGTGGAAATATACTTATAAGTCATTGTCTGGTCCTTTTATTCTTGGAGCAATATTTCTATTCATTCACATTACAAACAAACAATAGATCGTGTGTCGAAGAAAAGCCTAGATCCTCTTCTAAATCATTTTATATTGGTGGAACAATATGGTAATAAAATATTAGACTATAATTATCACCTAAAGCAGAGTCCTAATCAAACTCCTTCATTAACCATACAAAGAGTTTACTGATTGTGAAGGAAAACCCAGACTCAACCACAAAATTACATTTAGTTAGAATAACATGCGCATTATGTTCCTCATTCTATTTCTTTTTACTCTTTATTTTGTTTTTATGTTTTAGTTTTCCTTTATTCTTTATTTTTGTTTAGATGGCACTTATATTTAACACAAAATTCAGATAAAATAAAAGGCTATACCTCCCACCTCGGTTCTACAATCTAGGGCATTCTTTTTCATAGGGACAACAAACTCAGTTTCTTGCCCATCCTCCCAGAGATAGTGTACAAATGTATATAATATCTATATGAATTTATTATGAAATCCAATATTTGATATTTTAACCATATAACATGAGAGTAAACTTCACAACAGGTTACTATTTCAAGCAGACGTTACATACCATTACAATGATATACAAGTGAATGTGATATTAAAAGGAATTCCCAATAGTATATTTACAGCCACAAAAATGACCGTCGCCAATTTTTCCTCAATTTTACTTATTTGGGGGCTAAAGCTTGAGGACAGAAATGTTTACATTAATAAACTATAGAGTGTGGATAAATTTATTTGACTACCTGTTAGATCTATCACCTCATCCTTCAACAAACTGAAAGCCAAACTCCTGCTAAAGAAATTATCTAGAAAATATCTTGGGTGTAGAAACACCACCAAGACCCTCCTCCTCTGTGCTTTGAGTGGATGAGTAACTCAAGAAAAACAATATATTCCCTTTCAGGTGACTGAATTCTGTGACTGCTCAGTCTCCTACAGAATGATCACTCAAGAAGATGAGCATACTTACGGGAAGCAGAACCTGCCAGTGGTTACAAGAACAAGCAAACACAAAAGGTAGACAGTGACTGCTAACACTGGGCATAATGACAAAGACAGATTCAGGGCTGCAGTAAAAAAAGATCACCCATTCAGTAAAAAGGACGAACAGAAGGCAGCACAGTTCAGTCCTGATAACTTGAAATTTTAATTTTTCATTTGAAGCTATTTAAATTAGTGAAATGCTTACGTGGATGTCAGTAAATTTCTATTAAAAGATATAATTGTAGTTCAGAAAATCTATTTAAAATATTTATAATTTAACTAGATATCAACATATATGTCTGAAAATTATATGATTCTAAGATTATGATACAATGCAAAATAAAAAAGTGAAAACAAATGTTTTATGTATTAAAAACATTTACATATCAGAAGAATCAAAGAACTGAAAAATCCAAAGGAGTAAACAGGCTTGAAAGAAGCTACAGATTTCTGCAGGGAGAAGAGAGTTCAGTACAATAAACTCGGACTTTTTGAAACTCAATGTATATATATAACCAACTAGTGGCCATTCAGTTGACTCTGACTCATGGTGACACCCCCCCCCTCTTCTGGGTCAGAGTAAAACTGTCCTCCTTAAAGGTCTCAATGGCTGATTTTTCAGAAATAGAATCCCAAGTCTTTCTTCCAAGGCACTTCTAAGTAGACTTAAAAAGGTAACTTTATGGTATGCAGGCAAATAAATTACATGTTTGCACCACCCAGGAACTCCTATTTGCTACAGAGGTAAGTAAAATTTTGATTAACACTTTCTAATAATTTACCCCCCAAGAAGGTAGCATATGAGCAGGAACCAATTATACTGAAGGAAGAAGTACTGAAAGTAAAATTTTAATGAAGATCATCCAACAATTGTTACAGCAGGGAGGTTCAGGTCAGATTCAGAAGAGGACATGATTCAAGGGATATCACTGCTGATGTCAGATGGATCTTGGCTGGAAGTAGAGAATACTGGAAAGATATTTATTTGTGTTTCATTGACTATGAAAAGACATTTTGATTGTGGATAGTTTTAAGAAGAAAGAGAATTCTAGATCACTTTATTGTGCTCAGGCGGAACTTGTACATTAAAAAAAACTTATTTAACAAGAGACAGTTGTGGAAATAGAACAAGGGACTATCATATCATTTAAAGTCAGAAAAGATGTGCTTAAGGGCTGCATCTTAACACCATACTTATCAATCTGTGTGCTAAGCAAATCAACAGATTACATGAGAAGCTAGATTACATGAAAAAGATGTGGCATCAGGACTGGAGGAAGGTTTATTAGCTAATTGGGATATGCAGATGACACAACCTTTCCTACTGAAAGTGAGGAGAACTTGAAGTATTTGCTGATAAAGATCAAGGACTGTAATGTGGATTACAATTTAATGAAAAGAAAACCAAAATCCTCACAACAGGATCCAGAGGTAACATCATGGTAAATGGAGAAAAGTTTCAGGCTGTCTAACTACTGCTGCTACCTTATGTCTTATCTGTTGTCAGCAGTGAGGCCGAGTCCTTCATCCGACACAATGCCTTGTTGGAAAGTTCATTAAATCAAAGCTATTCCACTCACTAGAGCCAATAATTCACCTTTGGCCCTTTGGAATGATATATATCCTAGGTATGAATTTGCTTTCCCTACACTCAGTAACTCAGCCAGCACTACCAATCTAGGTTTCAAAATGTCTGATTTGTCAACAAAAAAAATTCCCATTAAATTGCTTCATTCCAAAAAGCTCACTTTAAAGCTTAAGTTACCCAAAAAAGGGTCACTCAGGGATCCCCACCCCCTGGCAATGAAAATATTTTGTACTATAGTCCATAATCAGGATAAAATATAGATAGCATCTTTGGACTATGCCAAAGCCTCCCAAGGGGCCTTATCACCCACTTTGGAAAATACTGCTTTAAAGCAAAGGAGTATCAATGGGTATAAGATAATGGAATCTACTCATGTGGGATTCCGAGACTAACTCTTTACAAGAGTATCAAGCCTCATCTTTCTCCCACAGAGAGACTGGTGGTTTCAAACTGCTGACCTTGTGGTTAGCAGCTCAACGTGTAACCCACTACACCACCACGACTCCTCTAATAGTGGATAGTGACCCTATTAAATAGCACATTGCTTGTTAGGGTGTCTCAAGCAAGACTATAAATATTTATGAGCACAGACAGCCTCATCTTTTCCCCTTGGAACAGCTGGTAGATTTAAACTGCCAACTTTGTGATTAGTAGTCCATACTTAACCCACTGCACCAAGCTTCGTGGTCATATGCCACATACTTCTGAAGCTGCTGTCTTAAGATGCTGGAAGAACATATTAAAGGTGTGTCTGAAGTACTAACATGGGTGTGACCACAGGGTGTCATCTATCGAAATAAGGTATATACTTTAAACCAATGGTCATTAAGTAGGGGCATGGTCCATGTAACTGTTACACTTGGGTTCAGAAACCAGAGATGCAAGTAATTAGTGGTTCCTTTTGTCATTGTTCCCCATGATGGGGAATCTGTGCTTCCTGTCCAAGAAAATTGGTCTAATAAATTATAAGCCTTAATTCTAGGAGATGCCAATGTATAATAATAAAGGGATTTGTACCAGAAAACAAAGCACAAGCTTATCTAAACCAGAAACTGATTGCCATGTGGTTATTTGTGAATTCACACATTGATAAACCAGCACACAAAGAAAGGAGTGATTACACTTTCATGGCTAATTAACTCAATCATTAAGAATAATGATTGCTGACTCATAATAGGGTTCTGCACAGTCTCTCAGAGGTCTCCAGTGTGACTTAGTCCCAATTTCCCAGAGAATACTCTGCTCATTAAGCTATGCTGTGCTGGCTTCTTTT